GTGTGTGTGTGTGTGTGTGTGTGTGTGTGTGTGTGTGTGTGTGTGTGCCAGCTGCTTTGAAGCTAAAAGAATTACATTCCATGACAATTGTTAGCTTTCCCTTCCCTCTCCACCCCCCCCTGCAACCCAGGGAATATCCTTGGGGTGTTGTAGTACACTCAGATATTCAGAAATATCTCCTAAGGTCCAGGTAGAAGAGGGCAGGCTTCTTATGTTGCTCATCTCCTTAGTAGTAGCAACACTATCAAGTCATGGTTTACAATATTAGGATTAAAATCAAACTGTAAACTAGGTAACATCTCATCTCTGGATGCTCCTGAGTATCAGTTTTCTTTTGTAGTTGGAAGGAGGGCGTGATAATTTCAAGTTTTTCTCCCATCTCCTCCCCCTGACCATAATCCTATCATGTTTCATCTCTCTCATTCGAATTGATCATCCTAGTAAGACTTCTCTGGGAAACTTTATCTTTCTCTAGGGTTTCGTCGGAAAGAATTTCGAGGCAAGTTGGCCATTGCCATCACAGCAAACTTCATCAACCGCCATACCACAGCAGAAGCCAAAGTAGAAGAGATCAGCGGTGTGGCCTTCATATTCAACCAGAAGTTCTTCCAGGAACTTCGAGAAGCCACAGGTTGGTGTGGCAGATGTTGTGGCCCTTGACAGGTTTAGAAATATAACTACTCAGTTTAGGTGTGCAAATAAGCAAGGAGCATGGGAGGTAGTTTAGTAAAATAAGATTCTTAAACATGACATTTTCTACTATTATTTCCCTTCAACTGTTTAGCAGTACTCTGTCCTTTTTAGAGCAAAGAGGTGTGTCAAGATAGGTTCTCTTCTCCCTGCAACTTTCCACCCCAAACCTTGGTGATGAGAATAAAATTACCATTTACGTAGCTTCAGGATTTTCAAAACATTTTATATACATTAATTAATTTGATCCTCACAACCACCCTGAATTAAATCCTCTTGTTATTTCTAATGCCCATTTTGCAAATAAGAAACTAGAACTGAGAGACCTTAACTGACTGGCCAGGTAAATGTTTGAGGCACAATTTGAACTCATATCATCCCCACTCCAAGTTTAACATTCTGTCCAAGATGCCACGCTTCCTCTTATTATGAGTTAAGGTGTGTTGGTAGAAACTCATTCTCTGGTTTTTCATTGGGGCAATGAAACTCACTTTAAGGATAAGGTGTGGTTTAAGTTCTCTGGCTGTGGTCTAAGATAGCCAAGAGGCTCAGGTTCTAATCTTACTCCTACCTCTGAGTTGCTGTATGGTGTGGGGTAAGTCACTTATCCTCTCTGGAACTCAGTTTTCTCATTGATAAAATTGGGGAGTTTAAACCATTTTTAAATTTCTGTGATTCCAGTCTTCTAAAGTCCAACCCAAATGCCACCCTCTCTGTGAAGCCTCCTTTGATTTCACCCTCATTAAAAATCTTTTCTACCTTGGACCTTATTTGGCTTTTGGTTTTACAACTTTCTGATGCACGTAGATATTGTGGTATTTTATCTTCTTTTTTCTTTCTTTACTTTAACTTGGTGACCTTCTCGACTCCCGTGAATATCTCTATGCAGGTGACTCTTACTCTCTACTGACCTCTGCTCCTGAATCATTAGCTGCTTATATTTCAAATGGGATGGCTCCTGGACTCAATACGGCAAAACAGAGCTCATTACCTTTATCCCACAACCACACCTCTCTTTTGAACTTCCCTATTTCTGTTGAGACCAACCACCATCCTGCCAGTCTCCCAGGTTCATCAGTTCCTCACCCCACATATGCAGTCAATTGTCAAATCTTATTATTTTTACAGCTACAACATCTCTCATATCTGTCCCCTTCTCACTATTCACAAAGCCAGTACTTTAGTTCAGGCTCTAATTATCTTTTTTAGACTATTTCATTGGCCACCTAATTAGTCTCCCTGCTTTAAGTCTCTTCGCTTTCTAATCTATCCTTTTCACAAATCCCTAAGAGATTTTTCTTGAGCACGGATCCCATCACGTTAACTCCACTTGCTCCCTATTGCCTCTAGGTTAAAATATAAACTTTGTTTGGCTTTTAAGCCCTACCTACCTTTCCAATCTGCTGCCTGCACTCAAACTACCTTGTATTTGTTTTGTGTATATACTTCAATAATATACATATTGTCTTCTAACTCTCCCTACCTGGGGAACTATTTCAGAGTTATTTAAGACCAGGGACTATTATTGGGTTATTATAAGGATCAAATGAAACGATATATGTAAAGTACTTTGGAAGTCTTAAAGTCCTATATACATTTTAGCTATTACCATTATTTGTTTGTTTGTTTATTTGGCTTTAGGGTCCTAATACCTCTAAGCACACAGTAGATGCTTAATAAATCCTTATCAATTTATTGATTGTCTGTAACAGTGATGTCAAACTCAACTAGAATGGGTACCGCTAATCCAAGAGTCCCTATGGGCTAACCATTGACTAAGTGTTAAAATGTAATATTATCTGTGTTTTATTGTATTTTTATTTTGCTGAATATTTCCCAATTACATTTGATTCTGGTTTTTGTCCACACTCAGAAGCGTTCCACACCATAGTCTGTAAGTTCCATGATAGTAGCCATTTTGTTCTCCTTCAGCATTTAGCACAGTGCTTTGAACAGAATAGGCAGTTCATAAAGATTTGTTAGATTAAATTGATTTTAGATAGATAAACTACAGTTTTTTGCTATGATGTTTCTTCATCCTTCACTACTGTGAACTTGGTTTCTCTCTAGCACCTATCTTCATTTAAGTCACTGGACTAAAAGGTGATCTAATCTACTCTCTGCCATCTAGCTAGCATATATGTCTTTAGTTCTCCTAACTAGATAATTCTCTATACTTCCCATTTAGAACTGAAATCTTTGTGTTTCATCTAAAGTCTTCATAGAGTTTAAAACCATTTCTTTTATTTTTCCCTTCCCTTAGTTCTCTTTACTAAAGTTAGATTTGTTCTTTTTCTGTACATTTCTCCTTGGTTCTCTGTGGTCCCATATTCAGTCATGTTAATGATGTTTGGGAAAGCAGTTAAATTTATACACTTGTCTTCTGGCTACAGGTATTGATTTGGAGAACATTGTCTACTACAAAGACGACACACACTACTTTGTTATGACAGCCAAAAAGCAGAGTTTACTAGATAAAGGAGTGATATTGAACGTAAGTTGAGTTTGTTTTAAAATTTTTTCTTTTTATGCTGAATACTTTCTAGTAATGTTCACCAGGGGGCCAAATTATATGATTATCCTAGTCCCCAACCTCTCTACCTTATTTCTTCCAAGAAAAATAGAAAGTAATCCCATCCCTATCACTTGGAAAAATGAGCTTTTCCTTTGGTGCTGTGTTAATAACAGTGTTAAGCCACTGAGATTTCAGAGGCTAATTGATGACTTAATTTGAAGTTGTAGAGAATGCTATGTTATGGGGCACAGCAGATTTGGCACAGAGGAGCTATTGACCTGGCTCATTAAAAGTGTGGGTGCTGTTCTGTACTTACTGCATGTGTTTTTATCCAGATTAGCCTTGAGCATAGGCCAGGTAATGGTAAATTCAACTCAAGCCAAATTTGGTCTGTCTTACTCGGAAATAACCACCCAGGGTGTATCTTCTTATCTTGAGCCTGTTGTGTCCCAACCTTGCCCAGATGAGTAATTGTATGGTTCTTGCCTTAGGATGATATCTGAAATGCCAAATTATCAGGTCCCATTTGGCTTGAATAGTTGATGTCTTCTTATTAATAAGCTTAGCACTAGGACAAAATCCTACAAAAGGTAATCTTCCCTTGGAACCTCAGAATCCTAGAGATTCACTATTGCTATATGAGGAAAGAGAGAGGTAAAGAGACACCCAGTATTGATACAGGTCTATTCTAAACTTCTATTCTCACCAGAAATGGGCAGGTGTGTTTTAGGTAGCTCTTTGTGTTTGTGGGGTGAAAGTACATGGTGAGTTTCAGTTTAATTTCAGGGATACTACTGTTCCCTTATCTGAGCACAAAGTAAGTTGGGAAATGATAAGCATAAACACATAGCATAATTGTTCCCTTTTGCCCCTAAATCTGGCCCTCGATTAGCCTACTTTTCCTTCAACCTAATGGGTATGAGGAAAACAAGACACTCAAGCAGTTTGACGTAACAGTATATGCCCTGTTGTTGTTTTAAAAAAACTGGACTTTTTTTTTTTTTAAATGACTGGGCTGTCATCTATATCCATCAAACTGTCATACCAGGGAACCAAGACTCATTTCAGATCTCCTGCTTTAAACAGACTGTATTTGGTGAAAGGAAATATGTAGGAACAATTTTAGAATTTCAAGACCTGATTTACTTTCCCTTTTTATTCCCTTCTGTAGAAGGCAGCAGGGATTATGCCATATGTATATCCTGACAAGCCTCCTGCAGACTCTCATTCATCAGTGAGCAAACATAGTTTTCCAAGACAAACTTGAATGTTTCTGTTTTGGCTTTTAACATTTTATAAATAAATGTTATCAGTGGTACTTTGGACCGTTAGGGCCTATTTCGATAAAATAGGAAATATCAATGCTACTATTCAAATCCTGCAGTTTCATCATAAGGGAAGGAATTTCTGATATCATTTTACAGAAACTTTGTTTTGTCATCATTATTTTCCCCTTTGAAGATGGATTCTTCTGGGTCCTTTCACAATCTAATTTTCATTTGTTGTGTTGAATACATTTTTTCCTATTTGCAATATATTTCTTCTCCCTAACTTCCTGGGCTACTATTGCTGCCTACCTTAAGCACCCAAACTTTAAAATCTTTCCTTTAGGCTGCACTTGAGATAGGAGGGTCATTTGGTGGTGGTGATTTAGGTGGTTTTGATTGCAGAGTCCCATTTTAGAGTTTAGCTTTTTATGAGCTGAAAGGATTAGAAACATCCATTTAAATTTTTTTTATTGATATCTTCTGTTTTTATATCACCTTTATGTTTTTATATATCTTTCCCTCTTCTTACCCAGAGAGCCATCCCTTATAACAAGGAATACAGTGGGGGGGGGGGACCAGTTCTAAACAATACATCAACTGAGTCTGACAGAATGTGCAATGTATGCTCCACATCCTTCATCATTCTTCCCCCTCCCCCTACACCCCAAAAAAAAAGGAGGGAGGGAGGGAGTGCATTTCCTCATCTGTTCTTAGAGGTTAAGCTTGGTCATTATAATTACACAATCTTCACTTTTGGAATTTTTGTTTTTTTAGTCATTGCATATGTTGTTTTCTTAGTTCTTAGTTTGCATCAGTTCACATCTTCCCATTCTTTTCTGAATTTTCCATATTCGTTGCTTCTTAGAATGTAGCAACATTCCATTATTTTTATGTATCACAATTTAAAAAATTTTAAGTCTCTACCTGAGTTCTTCCATCCTGAACCTCTTCTCTATTTGATGACAGGACTATGCTGACACAGAACTCTTGCTGTCTCGGGAGAATGTAGACCAGGAGGCTCTGCTCAGCTATGCCAGGGAAGCAGCTGACTTCTCTACCAATCAGCAGCTGCCATCATTGGACTTTGCCATCAATCACTATGGGCAACCAGATGTGGCCATGTTTGACTTTACCTGCATGTATGCATCAGAGAATGCAGCCCTGGTTCGGGAACAGAATGGTCATCAGTTATTGGTGGCCCTGGTTGGGGATAGTCTGCTTGAGGTGAGTATGAAAGAAGTCGTTGTTCAGTGGTGTCCAACTCTTTGTGACCACATTTGGGGTTTTCCTGGCGAAGAGGAGTGGTTTGCCATTTCCTTCTCCAGCTCATTTTACAGAGAAAGAAACCGAGGCAAACAGGGTTAAGCGACATGCCCAGACTCACACAACTAGTAAGTGTCTGAAGCCGGATTTGAACTCATGAAGATGAATCTTCCTGATTCCAGGCCCAGTGTTCTATCCACTGCACCACTGGCTGCCCGAGTATGAAAGAAGGGGAATGATATTTTATAGGGGAGTAATGCATCTGATACTACAGAATGAGCCATAGTTAGAGATATGAGCGGAGTTTTTATTTATCATATATTTACTCTAGCTAAACTTCCAGCAGAATGTCATGCTTTTTCATTCATGTTTCCCTTTTAACTTATTTTACTTTCTTTCTCTTTCTGCACTTCCCCCACCCCCTCTTCACCCTCAAAAAACTTTTACGCAGCCCTTTTGGCCGATGGGAACTGGAATAGCCCGCGGCTTTCTGGCTGCTATGGACTCAGCCTGGATGGTCCGAAGCTGGTCTCTAGGAATTAGTCCCCTGGAGGTCCTAGCAGAAAGGTAATGGAAATGGGTCCACCCCTGTTTGAAAATTAATACGGATGTTCGTTACTTCTCTCCTGGCAACCTCATTAGCTCCCGTGAATTTAACTGTCGCCTCTCTGCAGGTGACTCCCACATCTGTATTCAGCCCCAGTCTCTCCCTAAACTTCCGTCCTGTTTCGTCAGTTGCTTCTTGGTTATTTCAAACTGGATGTTCCTAAAACTATCCTAAAGTCAGCATGTCTAAAGCTGAATTCATTCTCTTTCCTCATAAACTCTCCTCTTTCAAACTTCCCTGATTCTGTCAAAAGCACTGTCATCCTTCTAGCATCTCAAGTTTGTAAGCTTGGCATTATTATTATTGACTCCTTGCTTTCTCTTATCCCACACATGCTCTCATTTGCCAAAGCTTGCCATTTCTTCCTTTACAACATCTCTCACATCTAACCCCTTCTCTCCACTTGCACACCTAACCACCTTCGTTCACCTGCTAATCATCATCTCTTGCCTAGATTATTGTAACACTTTCCTAATTGGTCTCCCAGCCCGAAGTCTTCCGTCGCCCCACTCCATTTCTCACAAGGCTACCAAAATAGTTTTCCTTATGCATTTCTGATCATGTCAATACCTTACTCGATCAATTCCAGTCTCTTCCTGTTGCCCTGGGAAGAAACTCCTTTGTTTAGCTTTTAAAGTCCTACGCAACATAGCCCCACCCTACCTTTCCAGTCTCATTAGACATCGTCTCTCTCTCTCTCTCTCTCTCTCACACACACACACACACACACACTCACACTCACACTCACACTCACACACTCTACAATTCATCCGCCACCCATCCCCTCATACACATGTATCTACAGCTCCCCCAAACTCACCTTCTCTGTGCTGCTTGCTCTTAAAGCAGCATCTTCTATCTCTGTGCCTTTGTCCTCGCTGTCCCCTATGCCTGGAATGCTTTTCTTCTATACTGCTGCTGCATAGAGTCCCTGTCTTCCTATAAGATGAAGTCCATTCACCATTATCTGCAGAAAACTTCTCCTGATCCACCCAGTTAGTGGCTTCCTTCCCAAACTATCTTGTTTTTAGCTATTTTGTGTGTACACTTATGAAGTATACTAAGTAAATACAAATACACACAAATAATTATACAATTATGTATGGATTAGCTTTTTATTTTTGCTGTATGTATACACACACACACATATATATATATTATATATATATATATATTTGGTGTGAGGCAGTTGGGGTTAAGTGATTTGCCCAGAGTCATACAGCTAGTAAGTATTATGTGTCTGAGGCCAGATTTGGACTCCAGAGCCGGTGCTCTATCCACTGCACCACTTAGTTGCCCCTTACTGTATATATTTTTATATGTACTTGTCTCCCCCATTAGAATGTAAGCTCATTGGAAGTAAGGAAGTATTTCATTTTTTGTACTTTTATCCTCAGCACTTAACACAGTGTCTGGTACATCACAGGCACCTAATAAATATTAATTGACTTAACTTAGGTTCTGATGTCTAACTTTGTCACTCAAAGACACCTTTTTTTTTTCGTTTGATTTTCTCCTATAATATGAAACACAGACAAGGTTATTTTGTGAGATCTTAGAATTGGAAGGAACCTGGTGGTCTAGTCCAAACCACTACCTGAAATTTCTGCTTATAGATTGGTATTAAGGGATGATAATTCTACTGTGTATTTGATAAGATGGTACCTAGTTCTTTTGTGATAACATTAAGAGGTTAAATACTTAATTAGTTGTTTTTATCATTAGAATCAGGACCTCATTCTTGCCCTAAGCAGTGGAATCTATGCTGGCTTTCTGGCCAACAGCCAGCCTGTTTCCTATGTCATTATTTCAGTGAGTCGGGAAAGCAAGAAATGTTATATGATGTGTGGCAAGTAAGCAAGAATAGAATTTTTCACTGTGTCCTTCAGTCCTCTTATATATACAATTAGAAGAGTAAATGGATGTCGCTGATATTATGTCAGGTCTTTTGAGTAATATTGGTATGTGATGTTGCAGGGAAAGCATTTATAGGTTGCTGCCTCAGACTACTCCTGAGAATGTGAGTAAAAACTTCAGCCGTTACAGCATCGATCCTGTCACCAGGTATCCCAATATCAATGTCAACTTCCTGCGGCCAAACCAGGTGAGGTCCATTTAGTCAGCCATCCTCTGGACTCAGTTTTATGATGGTCTTGAGCTCATCTGTTCACAAGGATCTATCTGATTGTAATATAATACATTTTTTTTTGGTGTGGACCTGTGATTTTACCATGTAGGTACCCAATGATATGGATTTATAAAATACTTTTAAAAGTCTGAAAGCTTTGTTATAGTATCTCCCACTGCCTCATGACATTCCTGTATGATTGGGAGTGGTAGATGCAATTTTCATTTGGTAGATAGAGAAACCAAGGTATTGATGATGGTGGCACCAGCACTACAACCCAGGTTTACCTGACTTAATCTGCTGCTTTGTTTTTTCTCATTATCTATACAGTAGCATTAATGCTTGAGGCAAGAATCTGGATTTTTCAAAAGTACAAATACCTGCCTCTTACCCAGAGTTTAAGTTTTGGGTCTTCTTTTCCCTCTTTTCCTTTTTCCCTCTACTTTTACATTAAGCGAATTGAATCCCCTCTTTCTACAAAAGGTAAGGGGTTCTCTTATGTCCCTTGATAGGTGGTTGTTTTGTGAAGTATCCCTATTGCACCATCACTCTTCTGTGTTGTGACTAAGGGAGTGTCAATTTTAACTGCTCGGTCATAGAGTTAAACGCAGCACAGTACATCAAGGCTTATGGAGTCTTTCTCTGTTCTTCTCCAGCACTAATGTTTTTGTTTTTCAAAATAAAAATTATTGGTCTTCAACATCTTCAGCCTCGAGAAAATTAGGATGTGGATACTAGGATGTGGGATTTTAGCATTTCTCTTCTTAAGCAACCTGTTGTGCTAATAACTTGAAATTTACTAGTGAGGCATGGCATTGTTTCTTTTAACCCACAATTCTTCTCCAGGTGCTTCATTTATATGACACAGGAGAGCTGAAAGATGTTCACCTGGAAATGGAGAACCTAGTGAACTCTCAAGTAACACCAAAGCTCACCCGAAATGGTAAGTTCAAGCAATGGTTTCCCCAAATGGTATTTATTCAGGTTAAGTACCCTTAGACAACATGGGGTGTTGAATAGAGAGCTGGCAGTGGAGTCAGGAAAACCATGGTTCAACTCCCCCTCTGACCCATACTAGCTATATGAAATTGAGCAAATCCTTGAGCCTTTGCATCTCAGGCAACTCTTTCAGACTACAAATTGTACAATTGCAGATCTACATTTGTAAAAGGAGTTTCTTCACTGGACCCTCCTTTAATCTAATAAAATCGCAAGTTTGATGGGGGGAAAGGCACCCCAAATAGAGATTATGTGATATGCCCTCTAATAGTAAGAGGAAGTAGTAATAGTAAGAGAAAATGATCCTGAATTTTTGTCTAAAATAACATTTCCACTTTGAAAAGTACTGAATAAAAGTAAATATTCTTGCTTTTAATTAATATTATTGGCATGTGGGTAAGATACTTGTGACCTCCTTTAAGTTATTGAATAGACTTTGGTTGTGAACATATAGTATTTAACAGGTTATTCTTCAAAGTTAGAACTATGATAGTATGAAACTAATTTTTCTTTTAAGTATTTTTTTATTATGTACTTGACAAGCACCAACAAACATGAACATTTCCACATTCAAGGAAGAACAGAAAAAGAGGATTATGTATTACATACAGCTTATTTCAAGTATATATTAGACTTAGAATTCTAATTTCGATCTAGCCCTGCTTGTCCCCATCCAAACTTTTTCTTTTCTGTGTGTTTTTAAAATGTTTCATTGATTCTTTTTTCCCTCTTTTCCTTGTTTTCAGTTTTTGGGGTTTTGAGGAGATTTTTTTGAGGAGGTGGTGCAGGAGGGGAATAATACTGATTCTTAAGAGAGTTTATTTTTATAAGAGTGAATTAATGTACCCTAGTATAAAATGTACCCTCTGGCATCCACTTCCCAGTGATGTAGGTTTCATTGTTCCTTACTACTCAAGTCTGTTTTTCAAGACCCTGTCGTTGAGAAGCTGGTTTTTAGCAATAATTCTCAGGTACTTGGGAGAAACATACTAGCTCCTCCACCGCTCATTCTGCTACTGTCTCATCACCCTATTTATTTCTCTGAGCTCAAAGGAAATCTTGAGGTATGCTCTGGTATTAACTTAAAAACTCTATTCTAATCAGCTTTGTCCCATCCCAGGTATATATAAAGTCAAGTAAGTTTCTTTTGCTATAAACTTTCTTTGTTTTCAAATACTGAACTTAGAAACTTTAACAAATGTCACTGTTTCTAGCCATAAGATTTATTCACAGTATCAGATAATAGAAAAATACAGATTCTTGAATAATTTATTCCATTGTGTTGGGTATCATAGCCATATTCTCATCTCGAAAAGAGAAATAAGAAGCCATTCGTTGGACTTCCTTCTTCAACTGCTGGTTCAGCTTTATCCCACTTATGTCTGGAAAAAAGTCTTTTCCTCCAAAAATATCTCATCAGTTCTTCTCTGAATGTAGTTATGTCAAAATGCCCATCAGAATTTTCCCAGTGGCAGCAAACTCAGTTTCAAGATCTTTCTCTAAGTCTGCCCATTTCTCTCTGATTCCCTTAAAGATATAAAATTTTCTATGGGAAAGACTCTTTAAGCTGGGATTACTCTTTTTAAAAGTACCTTTCTCAGGGGCAGCTAGGTGGCGCAGTGGATAGAGCACCGGCCCTGACTTCAGTTCAAATGTGGCCTCAGACCAGACACTCGACACTTACTAGCTGTGTGACCCTGGGCAAGTCACTTAACCCCAATTGCCCCCCCCCCCCAAAAAAAGTACCTTTCTCAGTTTTAGCAGCCTTCATAAAGGAGTTTTCCCTCCTTCCAATATTATTCCAAGTAGGGCTTCTTTCTGTATTTTATTTCTGGTTTGCAAAAATGTGAGGCTAGAACTTTTGGTTACTATTTTTAAAAAAAAGGATTAGCTGCTAGTTAGAATGGGTCTTTGGAAACTCGTATATTCATCTCCATTGTATTTGAATGAAGGATTTCCTTTTGAGTAGAGTCATCAGCAGATTCACAAAACATCTGTGGGACCTAAGAATCAGTGATGACTCAGTAGTTCCTATCTTCCATTTGAGCCCTTCAGTGACTGGCTTGAAAAAATTAAAACAAACAAAAAAGAAAAACAGCCATGGAAGTGAGCAGAACCAGATCATTTTAAACAATGACTACAATATTGTGAAGGAAAACAGCTTTTAAAAGTTTAAGAACAATGAACAAGACTTAAAATTAATGATCAACCACCTCTTTAGATGGATGATAATAAAATCAGGATTCCTACCTCTTGGCAGACAAATGGTAGACTCGAGGTCCATGGAAGGAGACATACATTTTTCAGACATAGTGTGTGAATTCATTTTGTTTCATTATACTTAGTTGTTACAAGGAAGGGCTTTTATTTTTTATTGCTGGGCAGGGTTATGAAGGGAGAGGAATAGTAGTAGTAATGCCAGAACACAAGAGGACCTAATGAAGTTCACAAGGGGGTACAGATGAGCCAGTGTTGGAACTACTGTGTTAAATTTAACATGTGCTTTAAAAGACAAGAGGTGTGTAATAGAGATTCATGGGATATACATATCCAGTCTTCCTTTTCTGTTCTTTGAGGAGTGAGGTAGTAGGATTTGTCTCTACACATAGCATCACTAATACAGAGTGTGGGGTCACTCGTTCCCACTTATAGGTCACCCCACTCCGGGTACTTGAATACATCTGATATTTAATTTTTTGATCCTAAGCTCTAGAGTAACTCAGATATATTTTATATTTCTTCATTAATTAATAAAATTTCAATATATGCCTTAACTATCTCAGTTTAGTACCTCTACCTCCAACTAATCAAATATTATTTAACAAACTGAAGAAATCTCTTTTCCCTATAGTAGTTACTCATGTCTTTCCAAATATGAAATCTCTTAATATTCCTAGGATTAAACAAATATTAAAGTTTCTTGACATGGAATATTTTAACTGTGAATTCAATAATAAAACAAAGACATAATTATTTATAATAGTTTAGCAGTGAAAATGATCACAGCCAGAGTCACCTACAGTGTTTTGGGATTGTCTTGGATCATTGTATTGCTGAGAATAGCTAATTCATTCACAGTTCTTCATCGTACATTATTGCTATTCTGTGTATAACTTTCTCCTGGTTCTGCTCACTTCACTTTGCATCGGTTCCCAATGTTTCTTTGTTAACTAACATTTAAGAAAGCTTTAATACAAAAAAAGTTTCTCACCTTTTTCTTTGTCTTCTCCATTGTTTATTTCATATATCAAACTTTATTTCACACATATTCTCCTTGACTCTAGGAAAAGCATCTCAATATGATACTAGTTACAACTATACCTCCAATTTTCTCTTGAGACAGCTACAATTTCTATAGCCTTCATAGGAGACGCTTTTGAAATAGGGGTTACATTTGTATATGGAAAAGAAACTTTTTTATATTTGTTTAGTTTAGAATAATAGGGGCAGCTAGGTGGCAGAGTGGATAGAGCACTGGCCCTAAAGTCAGGGCAACCTGAGTTCAAATCCAGTCTCAGACACCTAAAGCTTACTAGCTATGTGACTCTGAGCAAGTCACTTAACCCCAATTGCCTCACCAAAAACAAACGAAACAAAAATTAAATTAAAAAAAAAAGTTTAGAATAATAAGAAAAGAAAAAAAAACAGCTATATACCAGTTCATTTATTTTTCACTGTTTGAAGGGAAGTAGCTCTGACTTGTGAAGTTAGAGTCCAAAAAGGATGATGGTTTCTGGTCTACCCCCCACATTCCTCCTGTCATCATCTGAAGTTGTTATTCCTCATTGGCTTCTTTTGAGAACAGATGATTCTTATACTTCCTCCATAGACAAACTTTGCAGACTGCATTTGTATACTGTACAATGTCTAATTCCTTAGCTATACTGCTAGGTGACCAGTGACTGCTATGACTTTTCTCTGTATTTTTAGAGTCTGTGGCTCGTTCCAGCAAGCTGCTCGGCTGGTGCCAAAGGCAGACAGATGGCTATGCTGGAGTGAATGTGACAGATCTTACCATGTCCTGGAAAAGTGGCCTGGCTCTTTGTGCAATTATCCATAGATACCGCCCAGATCTCATGTAAGTTGTGGTAAACCATATTTGTATATTTTTCTTGCCCAGAAATCTGAGTGTCCTGCCTGTGGTTAGCTATATGTTTTTCTTTTAGTCGGGTAAAGTGCAGGGTAAAGCAGTTTATCTCAGTGACGATAATTCATATGCAGCCAGTTATAATTAAGCATCATCTGCAAGGCACTATACAAGCTCAGTTTAGACACAGGGTTAAGAAGCCCCAACACCCCTTCATGTGGGCTTACTTGTTTCACATATAGAAAAGTCTATCATTACCCTTGAAGAAATAACTAAGAGTACTGATATGGTCAGTGGTGTTATTTCCTTCTTATCTTCCAGTCCCATTAAACAGCTCTAAGTATCTGCTTCAGTCCCCACACAGAGTCCCACAAAACAGATTCACATGAAAGTGAAATGAAGAGATACTATTTTTTACATAATAGTCAATATGCAATACCTTTGTGCCAATTTCCCCTTTGGTTTTATTTTCATAGCTAGCTTAGGGATATTTAAAAAGTACTCTGATACAAAATAGAGAAAGATATTTTCAAAATGTTTTGATAATAGAAATTTCTAGTTTTCTTGGATAAGATGAATTTATGTATTTTACCCCTCAGCTCATTTGGTGGTTACCATGAAATGACTTGAGGGATGAGAAGTTTGAGGTAGGTTTTGAATAAAGAGATTAGGTAACTACATTTGGGACTTAGAAGTCAATTCTGTGCAAAAACTGTGTCCAAGAAGAAAGCATAAGGATGGGGAGGGGGGTGAAGGGGGGGGCGAAGCAAGGAAGGCTGTTGCTGTTACAAAATGTCGGATGCTGCCTTGGTTAGTTCTAGCAGAGTTAGTTGTTTCCTAATGGCAAAACAAAAGACACTGAGGTCATTTGGCATTGCTTAGACCTTGTTCACATACTTGACTCAGTTTGGGGCCCTGTGTTTTGAAAGACGGAATCTGTTGACAAGAGGAATAATTTTTTTTTTAAAAAAATCCCATTTAAAAAAAATAACCTCTGAGGTCTGGAGGTTAATATAGCAATAGAGACTGCCTAGTGAGCACCAAAACACTTACAGAGGAATCCATATCCATTTTTCTTCAGATTGAACAACAGAGAGCTTCAAGTACAGTGGGGAAATGTTCATCTGAGTACTTTGGAAAACTCAGGAAATTTAGCAATGGAAAAAAATCTTCCAAGGAAGGTTGTGGAATTTCCCTTGGAGAAGTAATGCTGATTTAAGAATTACCAGAGCCTGCTTAACAAAACAAAATCTTATTGCAGAGAGACGGATACCGAGTCGCATTTGAGAAATCTGGTCTACATATATGATTGTTATTATTTAGTATATCATCAGGACCAGTAAGATAAACTAGACATATATTAAGGTTAAAGTCTGTCTATGAGCTTATAAATTTAGGTAGGTAAGAATAGTTCTAGTTTTTCCTCACCTGCTTCCCTGTAATAGATCCTTGAGCAAGGATTTGCTTAGAAAATGCTTTACATTCTTTAAATCAAAGGAAAGAGAAATAGTGTCAGGTAACATGCAAGTTTCTGCCTTCAGATTCGGTAGATTGACATTTCCTTATTTGTTCCTTTAAGAAATTCATTTTTTTTTTAAACCTCACTTTTCAGAGATTTTGATTCTTTAGATGAGCATAACACAGAGAAGAACAATCAACTGGCATTTGATATTGCTGAAAAGGAATTAGGAATTTCTCCCATCATGACAGGCAAGGAAATGGCTTCAGTTGGGGAACCAGACAAGCTATCAATGGTGATGTACCTGACCCAGTTCTATGAGATGTTCAAGGACTCCATCCCCTCCAGTGGTAAGGAATCTAGGACAAAAGTCTATTATAAGTGGCAAATGCTATAAAATTCCTTCATTTCCTGTTTGTCTGAATTTCTTCTTCCCCCACCCCACCCTTCCAGCCACATCCTTCAGCTGTACCACCAAACGCAAATTCCAACAGGGAAGTCAGTGACTACACAGAACTTTGCCTTCTTGGTCATGGAAATAAATAAATATATATATATATATATAGAGAGAGAGAGAGAGAGAGAGAGAGAGATTTTTTTTTTCATAGAAACCTGAGGAAAACCTGTACAGACTCTTTATTTTAGTGCAGTTGAACTGAAAACTAAATTTGAAAAGTGTATTAGCTCCTCCTGTAACTGCTGGCAAGCATGTAGAAAAATCAGTGTTTGGTGAAAATCTGAATAGGCTGGTAACTCCTTACATGACTCCCCTTCACATGCTCCGTGGTCCAGCCAAACCATGCTGCTCCTTCAGACAAGACATTCTCTGTCCCATCGCACAAGCTGTCCCTTTGCCTAGAATGTACTCCTACCCCTTAGAATCACTCGTTTCCTTCAAATTAGAGATCAGACTCACTGATTTCTGACTCCCCTCCCCCACCTAGTTATTAGTATCTTTCCTAAAATTACTTTTTGTCTTATATTTACATAAATATAATGTGTCGTTTTCCCTGTTTGGACTCCAGTCTCAATCTGAGTAGTCTGGTAACTCCTTTACCAGCTCTTTGAGTGGAGAGACTGTTCATTTTTTTATCTTCATATTTAGTCAGTCAGTAAATATTAAACGCCTACTATGTGCTAGGAACTGTGCTATGGGTACAAATAAAGGCAAGAGATAGTTTCAGCCCTTCAGGAGCTCACGATCTAATGGGGAAGATGCATTACATGCAAACAACTACATACAAATAATCTATAGACAGGATAAATTGGGATTACTCAGAAGAGTAGGGTTCTACTGGGTATCATGCCTCATGCCTAATAAATGTTTGTTAGTTGATCATCAAAAAAGAGGCCTGGTCAAGACTGACTACTTCTGAGTTTCTCATGGAAGTTTCTGACCCAAGTATTTTTGCTCACAGTTACTTTGGATGCTGAAGAGAAAGCGGTCCTGATTGCTAGTACCAAATCCCCCATCTCTTTCCTTAGCAAACTTGGGCAGAGCATCTCCCGGAAGCGTACTCCCAAGGTAAAGAGGGCACTTTTTTCTTATGTTGGGAAGCTGATCACTTGGTGAAGGAATGTCTGGTTATGCTGACCTGTAGTATAAATGTTTTCTCTCCCCTTCTCGGTACAGGATAAGAAAGAGAAGGACTTGGATGGTGTGGGGAAGAGAAGGAAGACCAGTCAGTCAGAAGAGGTGAGAATAAACTAGAAAGCTAATTAGATTGAATTACCTTTATGTTCAAATTCTGCTCTTGCTGAGTCAGATTTGGGCATATTTTCATATTCATCCCTAAACCTTTATATGAATTTCTGTGGTCAGATCATCTCTCTACTTAATGTTTTCCTTTGGTCTTTTTGTTTGTTTATTATTATTGTTGTTATTGTTGTTGTGTTAGGAGAGTCATCAATAAGATGCACTCATAAACCATTTATTTGCCATCTGCCCTACCATTGTCTTCTAAGTTTCTCTCCCCAGGCCTTACTCTCTGCCTTTGCCTCTAAACTCTTCAGGCCTCTGACACTGGCATTTGACATTTATATAGCCTAAGGACCTTTGGGCCTTGCTATCTTTTCTCCCACTGAAGCCTTAGGACTTTTGGTCATTTCTAGCTACCCTGAAACTGAACTTTCTTTGGTGTATTATCTACCTGATTAGAGTGTGAGCTCCATGAGGACAGGAGCTCTCAATTTTTCAATTTGTATCTCTAGAGGTGTGCGTAGCATATAGTAAGTGCTTAATAAATGCTTATTCATTCATCCATCCTGTCAAAGGGATCCTCCCGCCTGGCATGCTGTTAACACTAGTACTTTCTCCCTTCCTGAGTCCTGAGAGAAGATGGAACATTACTTGTTAAGCCTCAACAGAAGTAAAAAAACTGAAACTCTCTTATAGGGAAAGACAATTGGGGGAAGCTGTGAATGAGACTGAGTGTTTTGATTCTTGGGTTTTGCTGTCCTAGGAGGAACCACCTCGAGGTTACAGGGAAGAGAGGCCCACTCTGGTAAGCGCCCTAACCGAGAGGAGGATTGATGTTGCTATTGGTAACCAGAATAAAGTGAAGTCCATGGCTACCCAACTACTGGCAAAATTTGAGGAGAATGCACCACTACAATCCACTGCTGGCATAAGGAGACAGGTAGGATACAGAATCATGTCTTATCCTTGGATTTGGGTTGAGGTATAGGAAAATAAAGGTCACTTTGTATTTCTTGATTATCAAGAAGCAGCTCTGTTGTGTGACCCTGCTATGCTAGTCTTTCTGGGCCCAAATACTACAAAGAGAAACTGCAATGCTGGTTACACTGCCTGAGTGTGGTAACATCCAGTGAAGAATTGTGATCGGGGGAGGTTGGACCTTAGAGGAGAAGGTGATTAGTATCCCTTGGCTGATATAACTGGGTTCCTGCTTGCCCACTCCCAAAGTCTAAACAGGTGGAATTCAGGAAGAATCTGAGCCCACTATGAATCCTCTCTCTGTGCAGAGGACTTGAGGTGACCACATTAGTTTAATTAGTCTAAATGTCCCAATTGCCTTCTCCAAAGAACCCAACCTTCTCAAGTTTATGGCAGATTAGATTTTGGCCAAAAGATAATACGTTTCAGGATTAGATCCCAGGTTTTCTTACTACAAATCCAGTGTTCTTTCTGTTGTACAACACTGCTCTGAGGCTTACTGTCTCTAAATCTATCGATGTGTTTCCCATCAGTCTAGGAAAATGTCTCATAATTTAATCACCAAGCCACTTCCAATCCCACGAGTCTATGAAAAGGCCTGAAAAAGTTTTGACTTACAAAGAGAGATATCTTTATCAGCTATTACTCCTCTTCTATCTTCACAGGGATTGTGGGGGGATGGTTTTTTAGAATCCTTTTTTCTTAAATGAATTTTATCTTATTGTTTTTATATCGCCTAATTTTCCCCTGTATTCCTCCCCTTGGCCCTTTCTCCCAGAGAGCCATCCCAGTTATTTTAAAATCTTAGAGGAATTCCTTTTTTTTCCACCCAAAATGATCTGGCAGTCTAAGATGATATCTTCTTCAGTGTTTCTTTATCATGAGGAGTCTTTTGTCTGTTCTTTTCACTCAAAATAGCCACATGGTTTCTAGCATATCAGGAGCGGAATTGGCTTTATTTTCAGGAACAGCAACCTAGCCGGCCTTCTCTTTTATCATTCGGCATGAGAGAAGAGTTGCATTTAGCTAACCATGTTTCTCGTTCTGGGTGAATAATTTGGTTTTCTAAACTGAAATAAGACCAAGCAAGAGAACTACTGAACCTGGGAAAAGAAAAGTCAAAATCATATATACTCTCATTTTCCTGTTTTGATTTTACTTTGATTTGTTATTCCAGTAGTTAAAATTGTGACTTTTTTGAGTAATCCATTCTTACTTAAGAATCATTTTTACCAAGAATTTTTTTAGGTCATAAATATGTGTTTGATACCGTGTTCCATTCCTCCTCCCTCCAGTCATCAACTTCCATTCATTTCCCCTGCTTCTTATTTTATGTTATTTTGTCTCTTTGTCCTGACTCCCCATCCACTCTTGATTTATATGTGACAGCCAATCCACGAGCGTTGCATCAGCCAGCCATCCTGCAGACAGCCTGAGCAGGGCCGCCCTGCTCCGATACCTCAGTGGAAACAGGTAAAGGAATTATCCAGTGACCAGGATGTTTGTCTTCTTGTGTCTCACCTCCCTTATCTTCCTCCTGAACAAGAGAATGGTGAAGCCTGAAATCTATTAGTTTATGCTTCCTTTGGGAGTAACTATTAGGTTTACAGCAACCCTGTAAATAGTTACTTGCCAGATTAGAATGGGAAATTAATAGGCAATGCTAATTTTCTATTTCATTACTTGTATACTTCCTTTTGGTAAACTATTTTAAAGACTTGTGGACCACTGGGTGTTGATGAATGTATACTTGAATGTATATTTGGTAGATAAAGCACCTTTTGGGCTTTAGATAGTTGTCATTTTAGCAGATCCTTTTTGCAAGTCTATGAACTATATTTCTCAAGATCTGGTTGGTAGAAGAGTTATACAAAGGAAAATGCTAAATTTTTTAGCCCTGGAGATCATGACAACATGGTCTTTCATTTCAGACCAGGGAAATAGTGTACGAACCAATACCAAGAAAATTATCTTGGAGTTTAAAAAAATCCTAACAGAGCTATTCCCTCAGCATGTTCCTAGGATTCTGTCCATAAATTTAAATCTTCTCCTGGGAAAGACTGTGAAAGCTGAGCAGGGTTAGGCTTCTACTCTTGGAAAAAGGCCATTGTTAAGCAATACAGTACAGGAAGGGAGGTGGAGGAGGGTGTCTATTTAAATGTGGCAACTGTAAGAAGCAGAAAATCCACAGGTGGGGTCTGGTTGGTTTTCTACTTGACTTTCCCCCATATCATAATTAGACGTGTTGACTATGACCTCATTAGCTCCATTAGACTGAAAGATGGTCCCAAAATTGGGTTTTATACTAAACTTTAAGAAATAAAAGTGAGCCCCTCACCTCTAAAGTGAACCATCATTAGGTGAATTTACAAGTGAGAATATGAGTTTTAGAACAGAACTTCCTTCCTAATCTGATATCTTCCTAGCTTTGATTCTTCTATTTGATTCCCTATTAAAAGCAAACTATTGGCTGCAGAACAATCTGGGAGTAAGACCATGACTGAGAGGAGAGTCCAGTGTAATGTTTCAGTGACAATCTAAGTTTGGAGAAGTCTCTGAAGAACTTGGCATTCTACTTGGGATGTGTCCTGTCAGATTCCAGTTTTGAAGAGAGATGCTTTTAAGGGGCAGAAGTGAGAGGTCTGTTAAAAAGGAGAGCAGACTATTTCAAATCCCCAAGCTTTCAGATGCCTTTCTTAAAAGGCCTTGGAAATGAGGATATCACCATGTTTGGAGGCACTTTGAATAATGATTTTTGTGTCAGTGGGAGAGGAAAGTACTGTAAATACCATCTGCTTGGGGCAGCTTCAGACGGACCTGCTGGGCAATATGAATACCCAAATAAGAATAAGAATAACCAAAAATCTTCAGTTAAAGTAGTTTTTCCTTTTGAATCTGTAAGTAGCTAGTGAATAGAGCACTGAACCTGGAGTCATGAAGACCTGAATTCAAATCCAGCTTTAGATGCTAATTAGCTGTGTGATTCTTAGCAAATCACTTAACCTCTGTTAGTTTCCTCATCTGTAAAATGAGGATAATAATAGCACCTACATCTCAGAGTTGCTATGAGGGTGAAATGAGATCACATTGGCAAATTGTGATTAAAGCACTATAGAAATGTCAGCCATTATTATTATCATTATCATTATTAATTAATCAATAAATACTTATTAACTGTCTACTTTGTACTGGGCACTGTGTTAAGTGCTGGGGATACAAAAAGAGGGAAAAGATAGTCCTGTCCTCAAGGAGCTTGCAATCTATTATTATTATTATTATTATTATCATCATCATCATCATCATCATCATCATCAGCCACAAGGAAGTTGGTAAGTTAGGGAGCTGTGATTGAACAGAAGTTGTCCAAAAGTGGCAGGTCTACTTCTTGGTTATTTCAAGCAATTTTTGTCATTCTTGTCGGTCTGCATGCCATTTTGTCTTGTTTTGTCATCATCATAAAGCATTTGTGAGGTGCATAATTTGTGGGTGGCCCTATGCAAGGGGCTAAGCAGAGAAAGTCACGTGGGGGCCATCTCGCTGGCTTGGCATGCCTTCAGTCTCAGGCCACACTGAGTTGAAATACATATATAGGAAACACAGCATAGAGTAGGAAAAAAAATGAATGAACACACTAGGGGAATAAATAGGGCAAAGATTTGTGCAGAGTATTTCTCCAGATTTCATCTCCAGACTAGATGGGGAAGAAACCATGAACTTTTTTTTTTTTTAATGGTACCTGAAAAAGGATTTAGGTGAAAGAAAAGCTTACTTGCTCTGGCTTTTTCTCACATGCAACAGATTTCTTTGAGAAATGGTTTTACATGGTTGTAAAAGAATATTCATGAGAAGAATACAGCTCCTTTCTTGTGTATGTGTGTATGTGCGCGCGCGCGCACAAACGCATACACGTGTGCACACACTGCTAAAATTTGCGTGCTGATTTTTTTTTTCCAGAAGAAAAGCAGAGGATGGGATCTTCATCTAGAATTATCATCTGAAAAGTGTAGGATAGAGTAATGGTGTTCTAGATACTACAGGAGTTTTTTGGTACTGTAGAAAATCTCCTTCCATTTACTGCTTCTCTACCTCCATGTCCCATTACCCATGTGAGATGGACAGCAGGTCTTTGTGACTTAGGGTGTGGTCTTCCCTTTCCAGGTATTTCAGATGGCAGGGAGGGGGCAGGAGTCAAGAAAGGGATGTAAAGTACTGCTGCATTGGCTAAGTTGGCCAAAGGAGCAGTTTCTCTTTGGGCGAAGCAGAAGGACGAAATGAACGACCTCCATGTTTAAACATTGCGTTTCCCCCTCTCTACATTCTTTTGCATGTTTACTTCAGAAATATGTCCTTTAGGTACCCTTTGTATGTGATGTGGGTTTGGTTGGGCTTGCCCCGCTGTGCAAGGCCTGAGTAAATTAGAAAATGCTTTTTTCTGGGACTTGTACTTCTCACAGACTGTACTCTCCACTAGAATCAGACGCTCTAAGCAGGGCAGCACCTGCCTCATGGCAGAACCCTGCATAATCATTCTCAGTCTGAGACAAAAAAAAAAAAAGCTTCTGGGAAGGTCACTAGAAAATGTAAATACAAAGAGGAAGCAGCAAATGTCTTGGAACCAGTCGGGGTTCTTGCAGGAAATGACTAAAAAGGAGGGAATGGGGGAAAGAAGCTAGGGACAGGATATCCAAGGTGTTCAGTTGGGTGAAATGTGGTTTGTTTTTACATCCTCCTTCTTCTATTTCATTGTAGTCCTTTGGCAGTAATCCCAGAACTTTGTGAATATGTAGAAAGGACCACTGAAGATGGAGGAAATGGCACGATGGTATTACAGATGGTTTCTGAGTCTCTGCTTTGCTGCTGATTGTCATTCAAGTATCAGTTGGTTCTTATCTGTTTTGTGTTGTAGACCCCTCTGGTAGTCTTGTAAAACTTAGGAGCACCTTCTCAGAATAATGTTTTCAAGTGCACAAAATGTACAGGATTACAAAGAAATATATTATACTGAAACATATAGTATAATATATGAATATATACTATATTATATTGAAATGTAATTTGTCAATTTTTTTAAGGTTCAAGGGACCCCCCAGTTAAGAACTCCCAATCTAGGCCAGTATTCTAGCCATAGTGATTAACAACCAATAGTTAAACTCTTAATCTTCACCATACCATCCCATCTTCTAATATTTTAATAAAGCCACCAAGTAATAATAGCTTATATGTAGTGCTTTGCTTTACACATTATCTCATTTCAATTAAGGTAATATATACAAAAAAACCTTACAAATCTACACAATATATAAATGTTAGCTATTATTCTTTTATCCTCATGGCTTTAAGTATTTGAGTCATTGAGTATTGCAGATGTCATTCCTACTTGATGGATGAGGAAAATTTGAATCAGAGGGATTAAGTGACTTGGCAGGGGTCACACAGCTAGTAAGGGACAGAGCCAGGATTTAAACACAGGGCTTTTGAGATTACCAGGTGCCATGCTAAGAGCTGGCGATAAGAAAGTCTTTGCCCTCAAGGAGTTTACTATTCTAATGTAGGAAGAAGACAACAGAGAAAGAGGGTGGGAAAGACAGTTATATATTAGTGTGTTTTGGAAATGGCCAAGAAATGATATGGAAGTCCAGTTCCAAGCTCACTTTTCAGAACTCAGAATGGTTCTAGGGGCTGGAGTGCAGATGGTCTGATTCTGAAGTAGCCAAGAAGTGACCAAATCAAGTGATATAGAAAGTGCCTCACTTGATTAGCGCAGAGGGTTTTGTTTGTTTTGTTCTTATATTTGCTTTTATTTTGAACTTGACAATCATTAATAACCATGAACTTTTCTATATACAAAGGACAGAAAAATTGGATTTTATGTGAAATTTTGTGAATTTATTACGTATAGTTCAGGGGTTTTACACAGTAAATTTATTATTGGTGTACCATTATTCACCTTCTTATCTTTGTTCAATTCTGAATGCATAGTACGTTTTAACTAAAATTTCCTCCATATTAGGTAGCCTGTGAGCTAGCCCTTTTAGAAATGCAAATCTGATGGGGGCATTGAAGATGAAAAGCTAGCTTCTCTTCTTGACTGTACCATGATTTCTTAGTGATGTAGAAAGGGCAGAGGAAGAAACCCTTCTTGGTAATCTGTCAGAGGCTGCCCCTTAGCCTTTCCAAAGCTAGCCTGTATTTTCCGACCAGCTTCAATGTTTTTTTTTTTCCCTCTTTGTGTGTCTTGTTAATGCAAAAGCGACGGCGAAAGGAGTATTCTCGAACATGCCCGAAAAAAGTGATTACACTTTCTTCTCCCTCCATTCCACCTTCTTCTCAATTATATTGCGGTCAACAGGTGATCCTTTCTGCATGCCCTCTCTTCCCTTTTTCTTGTATTCCTCACCTGTGCAGGCGGCTAGACTAGTGACCACTTCAGTGGTCCCTCCTATTAATGAGAGCTTTACAAAATCCAAACTACTTATCTTCATTGCTATAAACTATGTAATTCCTGACTGTTCAGACCCTGAATGATTCCTTTTTCCTACAAAATTCATATCAAAATTCATATTACTTTGAAAATGAATAGAAAGGATGAAGAATGTCACCAGACTAAGGGCACAAAGTCCCAAGTAAAGGAATGACAAATTGGTTCATTTTATGTTACAGGCATGCCCTGTGATGAAGTTGGGCAAACAAACATTTTTCAATGACATCTTATATATTGTAGCCAAACCTCATGGGAAAGTTGTAAAACATAATTGTGAAACCCTGAGATCCTAGATTCTGTTGTTTCTTTTCAATTAACTGTCCTCATAACATCATTTGACCTAAAGTTATACTTTCACAGAACTAGTTAACATTAGGTGGGGCATAACCTGCATGTAACTCAGGTCAGGGTTGCCATTTCTTTATATTCTGTCTCTGCAGTGGAATAAAGTCAGATGGGCATTTCCAAAGCATTAGGGCATCCTATTCTTGCTGAGGTCATGAAAACCCCTAAATGTGCCTACTTCCTGTTAATCCATTGAATGGTCCACTTTCCACATTCCCCTGACTCAGGGCAGGCAGTACAAGACCACTTCAGAGAGTGTTGTATAACGAATTTAGAATGAGAACAGTAACAATTGTGCCAAGGATATATTTCTTAGAGCAGCTTTTTAAAAAGCGTATTTACAGATAGGATTTTTCTGGCCATCAATAGTAACACCTGTAGAATCCTGTGAATTCTGATTTCTGAGGCAGAATATAATGATTCTGAAGGAAGTTGTTGCCTCATCTAAGATGGTCTGTTTAAATGATATGTGGTTTTAAAACCCTTGAGTGTATTATCAGGACTACCTATGAAATAGATAATTTTAAACTAAAAACATCCCTCTCACCTCTGTTGAATAAAACTGGAGATGCCTTTTAGAGTATCCACTTAATTCTGCCATTTGGTTTTTACATGGTCTATTTGAAGGCAATTAGAAGCACCTGTGTATTTGGGTCCAAGAACTGAATCTTTAAAAGATGTAGTGAATTATTGTGTCTTTTACCTTTGGCATCCTACTAAGGCCATGTACCTGTGTGCCAGGAAAGTCCATATAGCAGCAACTTTGAATCACTTCTTCAGCCACTACATAATTTCAAATTGAATGCTTAGTCTTTTCAGGGCCTTTAGCCAGGGCAGCTAGGTGGTGCAATAGATAGAGCACCGGCCCTGGAATTCGGAGGACCTGAGTTCAAATCCAGTCTCAGACCAGACACTTGACACCTACTAGCTGTGTGACCCTGGGCAAGTCACATTGCCTCGCCAAAAAAAAGGGGGGGGGGCCTTTAGCCATAGAAAATTATTCCCTGCCCCAACCCCAAATCTGTGTCAGTTGCTTCCCTAATTAAACTGAGCCAATTGTATATTCCTCTTTAAGGTTTACTATCTCCTTGCTCAGTGATAAGATTACTAAAATGTATTTCTATCCTATCTCCATCTGTCCTTTAAATAGATTAAAGTTTTGGCCCTGTGTTCCTCTAGGGTGGGGACCACTCCCCACCCTAGAGTTTCCTCTGGACTGTTTGTAGTGGTCATTTATTCTAGCCAGTTTCCAACTCACTGCCTTTCCTTTCTGTTATCTGATTTGGAAAACTTCACTCTTCTAACCTGCCCTTTTTTTTTTTTTAAACCCTTCTGTTTAACTTCTTTGCTCTCCTGCCACCGTGTGAAAGATACTAGTTTGTTCCACCTTCGTACTAACTATAGTTTAATTTATTTACTTGACCTAAAGTTGGACACCCTGGCCATGAACACAGATTTGTCCTTGTGTGTGGGATTTACTGCAGATGGGATTTAAGGTTTTTGGGGAGAGGGAGGCATGGGAAGAGGGAACAGATATGTTTGAAATTAACACAGTGAATTTTTTCCAGTCTCATTTCTCACTGTCATTTAGTATGTCCAAATAAAGCCTTTGGCTGGTGCTCAAGTTTACACTTTGTTGCCTACAGATGTACAGGGATCTTGATGCTGACAACCGTGGCAAGCAGAGTCCTCAATATGAAAGGGTAAAAAGCATGAACCCATCGCATGGGGTGCTAAGAGCACATATACACATATGGGGTACAAAATGATGGGGAGGCACAGCAGATGGTAGAATGCCCTCTTGGTTGCTTTTTGCACTCTTGCTACTCAAACAAAAACCAGATTTCATTTGGAATTTGTCAGTGAGGAAGATTTAGCACAGACGATGCTCCCAGGACAACACAGCACTCAGACTCTATGCTAATGATAATGTAGATATTTCTGCTGCTCTACACAAGCCTGATGGTTTTCTGTTTTCCACCTGTTATCTGTCCTCTCTTATGGTCATGTCTCTCATTCTCTCTAAGTGTCTTATAGCTACAGTGGGACATAAATGGCTAATTCCATGGGTGAGCTTTTGAGAGCACGTTTATTAAGCAAATGTCATACACGCTGCCATTTTGATAGCTATAATATATTGGGCATAGGGACACATAGAGGTATTGGAGAAGCCAGAGCTCTTACCATTGTTGAGAATTAATTAATGAAATTTAATTAAATTAATTAAAGGAGATGAGAAGAGAAGGAATACTAGAGACAGACTTAATGTAAATTGTTTACTGAGTTACTTGAATGGTCAGTTGGAAAATCAGGACTCAAACACAGAACCTTGTCATTGGAAAATTTGACTAATGAAATAATATTTAATGGACATCTTGAATACAAGAATTACTTAATTTGTCATTAGCAGAAATTGCCATTCAATCTAAGTGTATATGGAGGATGTAAAAAATGATCACTTCCCATTGAGTTTATGCAACAAAGTCTTTCTGTTTGTTCTCTCTTTGCTTTGTTTCTAGATATATAAGAATACATTTAGGGCTGGCAGTTCATTTATATTCAAGTATCTATGGAACCAGACTAGTCTCATGCCTCACCCTCTGCCTCAGCCTCTTCTTTGAATTAGGAGAAGAAAAAAAGCTAGTAGTGTGTATATCAGCTGTTGCGGATAGCAACAGTTGAAGTGCGTGATAGAGGATGAAATGAGTATTGAAAGACATCATCTTGTCTCTTCATAACCTGCAGGCTGTAGTTCTATTAAGTCTACTGTTTTTATCAAGTCCTTTATAAAATTAACTTTTCTATTTAAATAGCAGTCCAGATTGACATTCTCTCAAAAAGGAAGTTAACTCCACTGAGAAGGTGGTGCCCTATATGTGAAGGGGAGCTGAGGTTTCTTTTGGTCATTTGTATTTAGTGGGATTAGAATTTAGAGATAAAAAGGTGAGGGGTAGAGAAAAGACATGTCTTGGAATTTTGCCTTCAGAAGATAATGAGTTGAATGCGTTTTTCATTTCTTTTTGGAAAAAACTAATTCTTTGGCTCCATTAATGTACTGGGCTGTAGTCCAATTATTTTGGAGGGACCTTATTTTCGGTGACTCTTCAAGCCCTGTTCATTATCTTGCTTGTGACCTTACTTTCCCTTACATCTCCTTTCCCTTCACTGAATAACATTATCTTTGCCAGTTCTCCCTCCTGAGGGAGGCTTATTTTTTTCCTCTTAATTTCTTTCTTTCTTTCTTGTACTGCTACTTCCTGCAGTGATCTCACCAAGTTTTTTCTGGTGGCCTTCTAGTTGAAGTTACCCTGAATATTGACCACAGGGAATGCCAGTTGCCCCTGCTTCTGGAGCAAAGGCCAATCAAGCGTTAGATGACTGCTGCCCAGTATTGTTCTCATCCATTTGTCTACTAAAAAAGATGTAGGGGGTGATGGGGATGGGTCTCCTTGGAGATGCATTAGCAGAAAGTATGTGATCACTTCAATATGTTGCTTCACACTTCCTTCAGGGGACTGTCATGTTAAATCCACCCATTAGTCTTGGACCTCTAAGAATCAATAGCTTATCAATGGATTGCATAGGCTTGAAAAGTTCCAGGTTTAGCTAACCACGTCATAAAAATATCAAACCTTTTGATTGGATCTTTCGATATTTTATATAGTAAATAAAGGGGTCAATGGCTTGGGATTTTTATCCTGGTTTTTTTCTTCGAGCTTCAGCTAGAAGCATGATTAATGGATCTGATACTCCTCTGAGGATTAGCAGAAAAGAGGAAAAACAGCAGGTGTTGACCCTTTTAGAGAAGGGGATAACTTCCCTTCTTTGCATTTGATTAATTCCTTTAGTTGTGCTCTCTGTAAAGCTGGTGGGAGAAGCCCACTTTGCTCAGGGGGTAACCCTACTATGTCTAGTGGAGAAACTTTTCTGAGTGTGTAAATGGGCTCACCTGTTGTAGGTGCCCGTTCTAGGCTACCTCTTCCCTTCACCTCTTATTTTTTTGCCTTGTGTGTCCCTTTCTTAGAGTGTAGCAGCCATGAGGAAGAACGATTACATGCAGATGATTATATTTCGTTGTATGTTCCCCTTTCTAGGAAGGATAAGCTAGAAAATCTCCAGAGGAGAGCAGTCAGCTGAAGGGCCTCCCTCTCTATACAAGGATCTGTTGAAGGACCTGATGGCTTCTCATTTAGAGTGATAGGTGCCTTCAAGATAGAATGATAGGAAGGGCTTTTACATAGAAGAGTAATTTCACTTGTTCTGCTTGGCCTCAGAGGGCAGAATTAGAAGCAGTGGGTGTAAATTGCAGAAAGACGGATTTAAGCACAATGTAGACACAAACTTCTAGCTGTCTTAGCTGTCCAAAAGAAGACTGAATAGACCTTGAAACTCCATTTCACAAAAGGTTTTTAAGTGATGGGCCAGAGGACTGCTTGTTGATGTTGTCATCAGGATTCATGTTCAAGAACAGATTGAACTAGAGGGTCTTTGACCAGCCTTTCAACTGTGAGATTACTGGTACTGTGGACACAAACTTGTTTTTTTAGGTGGCTTACTGGCTCTGCTTTCTGTCTAGATTCAAGAGTAGTAGTAGCCTGAAGTAGTTTGAGTTTACCCTGGCTTCCAGAAGCCAAGGATGCTTCTCTCCTGCTTCTCTGTGATTTAAACATTATTCTGAGGCTAAGGAATTTAATAAGGCTAAGTCTCCTCTCAGATCAGGTTTGAACTCTGAATTTAACACTTCCTTTGATTTTTTTTCCTCCTTTTTTTTTTTTTTTTAGCAAGAAACTGAACCTTCTCGTCGATTTTTTGTTGAGCAATGGGAGCTTTCCCTTAGCCTCCGTTCCTCCAACCGCCCTGCCTCACCCTCCTCTGACTCTCTCCGACAGGTAGCATGCCTGGCTTTTGGCAAAACCACAGTTGAATGTATGACCCTTGCTCACCTCACACCAACTAATGCAGTCACAAGAGGTCTCTGTCCCTGGGGCAGTTGACAGAACCTCTGACTCTGGTTTATCTCCTTTTTAAGAACCAGAGAGAGAGAGAGAGAGAGAGCGAGAGAGAGAGAGAGAGAGAGTGTGTGTGTGTGTGTGTGTGTGTGATGAATAAATGAGTGAAATAAGCTTCTAACTTTAGCATACTCTGATCATTCTATATTTAATATAAGTCATATACTGATGAAGTAATTTCAATCTTTCATTGCCTCAGAATTGTTTTGGCAAATATTTATTAGAAAACCAGATCAGCTAAACGATTGGGAAATTTTTCATTAAAGAGAAATATGTAGTAATATTTATTGTAATGGAATTTGAAGCATAGTGAATGGTATGTTTATGGTTGTATGTGTTTGGTCGTATCTGACTTTGGTCTATAAGGAATTGATCCTGCCATTTGGCATACTAGAATTCATCAGGTTATGGGATGGTTTATAGGAAAATTAGGTCTTTTTCTTCTTTGTTTATTGCTTTGTATTTGTACCAAACTAGTGTTATATGTGTATGCATGTGTGTAATCTTAAATATTACTAAGTTGTAACAGTTCCATAACAGCAAAATGAAGAAAATTGGCAAATAGAATTCAAGTTTCTACCACTTCCTCAGAAATGCTTGCCATTGTTAACATATTGCTGCTATTGAAATGAACCCAATTGAAATACAAGGATGGTCCTGGACCATAATCACTTGAACGGACTATTGGTCAAGATATTAGTGCTGTGGCCAAACCTGGGAGAACCTAAATCTTCGAAGAAAGCTTGCTTTATTTCCTAGTCCAATGTTTTTGGTTTCTGGTCTATGCTTGATCTTGTGTGCTGTGGAATGAAAGATAATATACTTACCTGTTACCTCTGTTTTTATTATTGCACTACCTTGTCATCCCTGTTTGTTCTTGTCTTTTCTAGGCCTAAGTTTCTCCCTTGTCTCTAATTCTTAAAACTTTGGCTTTGGTAGCCATTCATTTTTCATTACTTCTAATAGGAACAATGTTGTGAAGATACAGAGATCACTAATGGATTAATGGCACCAGTCCTTTGAAATATGCTACTCTGTTAAGACTGAAGATTGTAGTGATTTCCCCAATCTCAACTAAATCATGGATAATTACTTTCTTATCTGTATCTGGTTGTACTCTGGCATTCATATCGTTATAGCTCTTTCCCAGAGTAAGCACTTCCCTTGTTTACACAGCTCACTCAGGTCCTCATGTCAAACTATACACTCTTTCTCCTTCAAAAAGTTGCTAAACTAAAAGTAACCTTAGCATGACTACTACTTCTGGATGGCTCTTAGAGTTGGAATTAAAGATAAGGCCTCCAGCTTTTGGCACATATACAACAGATTGGAGCTCTCTGCTTTTAAGTGACATGTAGCAGTAACATTATATGTCAGGATCTAGGCCGTTATCCATATGGAAGGTTGAATTGAACGAAGAGAAATTAGAAGGCTGAGTATACAGCAACCTGTATTCATATAATGAAACAAAACAAACATTCAGAACTGAAACTGTATAGTCTCTGCAGTTCTTCAACCAGCTTCTAAGTCTAAGAGATATAAACGGAGTGTTTTGTGCTAAGATTTGATGGGATTATCTCTGTTTATTCCATTATTTTTGCCTAAAATAATAGATTATTTCGATGTCTTTCACACTTTTGTCCTAGACCAGAAATATCTCAGTTTTTCCAAGACAAATTTGAACTCATTGAACAAATGATTATATATGCTATAGCATTCAATAAGAATATCCATCCCAGCCAAGGAGGCTTTGGCTATGGTACCTTGATTGGAAAAGATGTTTGTGTGGATGTACTCTTCCTGATTTTTCATGAGTATAAGCAGCAGTCAGCTGTGTGTGGTTCTTCCAGATAAAAACTGGGAGTGTTTGTAGGTTCAAATAGATGCTGAGGCTGCCACTGAGAAGAAGGGAACATGGTTATAGTTTTTAAAAACATTGGCCTGGGAAGCAAGAGACTTGAATTCTCATTCTATTTCTGTCATTGCCACTCACCATGTGATCTTGGGCAAATCATTTCACTTAACTGGGCCTTACCTTCCTCATTTGTAAAAGGAGAGGCGTTTGACTAAATAACCTGTAAAGAACCTTCAGGCTTTAACTGATAGTATTAAATCATTAGGAGTATAATTGGAGATTGTCACCTACTTTCTATATGTAGAAAGAGGTTTTAAGGAGCCTTGAAAGGAGTGATATATTCTAGATGTAGAAAAACCCTCCAAAGGTGGAACCATGTGTCTGGATGGGACAAAGTCCTTTTGACCTCTGTATATAGTTCCCATTGTTATTAGATTCCCTTTTTATCCCCTTTTGTCTTTTGTACATCTCTTCTCCAAGTGCTGAAATTCTCCAGAAGGAGTGATTACTGGGTTTCAATGTAGTTAACATAATTCTTGATGCTTTTTTGACAGTTGTGCTAAAATTAGCTTTTATGTCATCACTGACACCCATTCCCTTCTTACCACCCAGTTATCCTGCTTTGAGGCACTGTGCTGGCATGGTTTGTCTGCTGCACCTTTTTCTCACTTTATATTTTTTAAAAACTTATTTCCTATCTTCTTAATTTATTTTTTTGTTTTCTCGTTTTCCTTAATTTCCTGGTTATTTTATGTCCTCCAACCAATAGAAGTATATAAAGATGTACACGGGCGGAGTGAGCTCATTGGCTGAGCAGATAGCCAATCAGCTTCAAAGGAAAGAACAGCCCAAAACCCTTCTAGACAAGAAGGAACTGGTAAGAGATGTTCCAAGGGTACTGTGTGTTTAGACATAACATAAAGCTATGGTAAAGTGAACTGGTCCTCGTATATTTATGATTCTATGGACTGCCAAAGACTGGTGTGATTTACTTTTTTAAATTTAAGAATATTTGAACTCTGATAAGTAAATATGAAGCTGAAAATACCCCATATCCATAAGAAATGTATGAGCATTGGAAATATTAAGTTGTCTTATTCTAGGAAAGAGTTTTTCTCTTCACAAATGCTAATTCATGAAAGAACACAAGTATGGGAGTGTTCATCTGAAAGTGAGTGACATCTCTCCATGACTGCCCTCTTCAGTTTGATATTTTTTCATGCATCTATCACATGCTAGGGACATGATACTTACTCCACCTTGGTGCAGTGAACATGAACAACGGCTTCCATAGTAAAATGAAGTGTGTTGGAAGGATGCCCCTCAAACTTTGAGAAGCCAGGATTCCTACTGAATGATGCTCTAATCATTTGATTGCCCCATCTCATTGTAGCTTCATTGGTTAGGACTGGTTAGTGGTACAGAGGACGATGTACACCTGCAGATATCCCTTTCTGGAGTGCAGGTAACCACAAGAGCCAGGGACTCTGACCTGTTTTTTCCTCTTCTTCCCATCCTGTTTCCCATAGGGCTCATTGAAGAAGGAGTTCCCCCAGAATATAGGAGGCAGTGATATTTGCTATTTCTGCCATAAGCGAGTCTATGTGATGGAGAGGCTGAGTGCTGAAGGGAAGTTCTTCCATCGAAGCTGCTTTAAGTGTGAATACTGCGCTACTACCCTACGCCTGTCTTGCTATGCATACGACATAGAGGATGGTAAGGAGCAACTTTTCTTCTCTAGTCTTGGGCATTAGGAGTTCATTATTCATATTGCATGGGTATCCTTCAAGACTGTTCTGAGCCTGATTATGGTGGTACATGCCTGTAACACCAGCTACTGGGGAATGCTGAGATAGTCAAATCCCTTAAATTCAGGAGTTCTGAGCATTATTGGGATGATGATGATGATGATGTTGGTGGTGGTAATAACTATCATTTATATAAGGTTTACCATGTGCTAAATACTATATGCTAAGTACTTTACAAATATTATCTCATTTGATCCAATCGAGTATTTACAATGTTTGGCATTAACATAGTGAACCTCTAGGAGTGAGAGACTACCAAGTTGCCTAAGGAGGGATAAACTGACCAGGTTGAGAACAGTTCAGAGCTTCCATGCAGATCAGCAGTTGGATTAGGGCCATGAGTGGCCCCTTACACTTCTAGCCTGGATGAGATTGCCAATGTTGAAGAAAAGCAAAAACAAACTCTCCTAGGTGCTCTTCTACTTTATATTCCCCCTCTTAGTGACCTCATTGACTCCTATAGATTTAATTATCATTATGTAGATAACTCAGATGCATATAAGGAGCCCCAGTCACTTCCTGTGTTGATCTTGAATCATGACTACCTAGTAGACATTTCAAACCTGATGATCCAGAGATACCTCAAACCCAATGTGTCCAAAACAGAACCTATCCCTTCTCCAAATTTTCCTATTTCTGTTGAAGGTCACACCATTCTTCAGGTCTCCTCAAGCTCAAAACCTTGGCATTATCCTCATGCTCCCTCACCCCACATATCCAGTCTCTTTCCACATCTTGCTGTTTTTACCTCTGCAATGTCTGTCGTATCCAGTCCCTCCTCTCGCCTTAGTTGAGGCCTTCATCACCTCTTATCTAGATTATTACAATGGCCTCCAAATTGGTCTCTCTGCCTCCAATCCCTCATCATTCCAATCCATCCTTCTTCATACAACTACCAAAGTGATTTTCTTTAAGTAAGGATCTTGGCACATCCCTCCTTACTCAAAAAATTCCTATAATTCCCTATTATCTCTGGAATAAAATCTGAACTCCTTTATTTTATGAAGCCTATTGCTTCCAAGAGCAAATAAAAATTTCTTTGTTTGGTGTTCAAAGCCCTTCTTAATCTAGCCCTTTCCTATCTTTCCTGACACTTTCTGACACATAGTTTTCAGTCCAGTGATGCTGGCCTCTTGGATGTTCCATGAATAAGACACTCTAATCTCTCAACTGTGGCCATTTTCTCTAACTGTCCCCCATGTCTGGAAACCCACCTCAACTCCGACTATTAACTTCCTTGACTTTTTTTTTTATTTTTTATTTTTGGTGAGGCAATTGGAGTTAAGTGACTTGCCCAGGGTCACACAGCTAGTAAGTGTTATGTGTCTGAGGCCACATTTGAATTCAGGTCCTCCTGACTCCAGGGCCAGTGCTCTATCCACTGCGCCACCTAGCTGCCCCCTTGACTTCTTTAGGTCCCAACTAAAATCCTGTCTTCTACAGGAAGCATTCCTCCAACCCCTCTTAATTCTAGTACTTTCCCTCTGTTAATTATTTCCTGTTTATCCTGCATATAGTTTATTTATACGTATTTGTTAGCATGTTGTCTCCCCAATGGATTGTAAGGTCCTTGATGATAGCCACTTTGTTTTGCCTCCTTTTTGTATCTCCTGCACTTAAATAGTGCCGGGCACATCATAGGTACTTATAAATGCTGATTGATTGACGATTGGCTGATTTACAGCCTGATCCATCCTATCTTTTTAATTTTTTTATATATTACTCCTCTTCCCACACTCTTAAGATCCAGCCAAACTGGCCTTCTCTCTTTTCTTCCACATTCCATCTTTCATCTCCAGGCTTTTGTCCTTGCTATTCCTCTTGTCTGGGGGATACTAACTCTTCTCCTCCACCTCATGGATCTCTCAAGGTGTAGCCAACATAACCCCTTCTGCAGGAAGACTTTTCTCATTCCTCCCAAATGCCTTGTATTTAGCAACCTTGCGTTTACTGTTTGTATTTCGTATATATTTATATGCTTTTGTTGTCTGGTAGAAGGTTAAGTCCTAGAATGTAGATATCGTTTTGGTTTTGGTGTTTGTATCCCTAAGACCTAGTGCAGTGTCTTGCATAGGTACTTAATTAAATGCTTGTTGATTAATCAGATTCCCCTTTTTTCCCCTATCCTGTCACTGAAGATAATCCAATATCATCTTTGAGTATGAAAGTATTTAGGCTTCACCGGTAGACCTTGGCCTCAATTTATTTCAGATTTGAGAATATGCATGTTGGATGGAAAGTGGAACAAGAAGAATAAATTAGTTATCAAGCAAGAAAATTTAGAGTGCCTAGTGTTCACTTGGAAAAAGTATTTGCTTGTAAGCTATTCCCAGAGACTTTCTTAAATTTGTTAATGTGCTAAATGGGGACTAATTAGTAAGAGAGAGCAAGTATCAGAAGAGTAGGAAGTTGGGTAGTTCCTCCACTTCAGATCTTATCTTTGTGTCTTTAAATCATTGCAACCTCTTACAGTGGGCTTTGGCATGCAAGAAATTCTCAGAGCATAGAACTTTGCTTTTATTTATTTATTTATTTTTTATGTTCTATCGATCAGTAAGTCTTTTTTAAATGCCTCTGATGTCCCAGGCACTGTGCTAAGTACTGGAGATACAAAGAGGCAAAAGATAATCCCTGCTTTTGAGGAGCTCACAATATAATGGGGGAGACGACAAACAAACCAATATATGCAAACGAAGTATATACAGGATTAATAGGACATAATTAACAGGGAAGGTAAGAGAATTCTTTCTCCGGTGCTACCTATCTGCTTCAAGATTCCTCCGATAAGAACTTTGCTTTTAAATCAGATAATCAGTAATATTTACTAAGCACTCAATAATAAGGATAGCTAACATTTATATAGCATTTATGATGTGCCAGGCACCGTGCTAAGTGCTTTACAATTATTACCTCGTTTGATCCTCACAACAACCTTGGGAGGTATGTGCTATTCACCTCCATTTTATGGATGGGGACACTGAGGCAAACAGTGGTTAAGTGACTTGCCCAGGGTCACACAGCTAGTAAGAGTCTGAGATTGGATTTGAACTTGGGTCCTCTTGACTCTAGGCCCAGATTTCTGTAAGTGACTGTAACATTTATGTCAACATTGTGCCAAATTGCTGTGAAAGACAGGAAAAGGGAAAATAATTGACTCTCCATATTATAAGGTAGTAATAATGTAGTCCCATTAAGGAGCTAACAGTCTAGGGAGATAAGATTCCTACATGAAACAGCAAATAACACAAGATTATGTAATTAAGTAAAGTACAAATTATTAGGGCTATTAACATAGGATTTCAAAAGGAAGTAATCAATGAGACGTGAAGTAGAAGCTTCTTAAAAGAAGTTGTCGGGGCAGCGAGGTGGCGCAGTGGATAGAGCACCGGCCCTGAAGTCAGGAGGACCTGAGTTCAAATCCAGTCTCAGACCAGACACTTGACACTTACTAGCTGTGTGACCCCGGGCAAGACACTTAACCCCAATTGCCTTTTAAAAAAAAAAAAGTTGTCCTCTAAACCTCGGTCCACGAGTAGGTATGATTGAACAAAATGAGCCAAAAATAGGAGTAGAGATGAGCTCAATAAGAAGACCAGACTAATGAGAGGAGAGGGATGAGTCTGCAAACTTGGGATCATAGATTTAGAGCTGGAAGAGGCAGGCAGTATGCAGAGCAGGCCTGCACAGCTTGCATTTACCTTGCGGCATGCCAAAGGATTTTGGACGGCCCACAAAAAACGTAGAGGAAAACATCCTTTGTATGTACAGGAAATCCTTTGGCGAGCCGCAAGCAGCCCTCGGGCTGCCAGTTGTGAAGGCCTGATTTAGAGGTAATCAGACCCACTCCCTCTGTTTTATAGATGAGGAAATTGAGGTACAGAAAGATTAAGTGATTTGGTTAGTCGTGTGTCTTATAATTAGCTGAACCTAGGTCTTTCTGACTCCAAAGACCTAGTCTAGTTCCTGTCCACTGAAAGTCGTATGATATACAGGTCTGGTAACTAGAAAGGGTTGTTATGTATGGATAAGGGAGATCTCAAGGAAACACGTTCTTCAGATATTTGAACGACTGTAAAATGTTGCTGAGCCTGGCCTGGATTCCCTTGTGGACTCGGGACAGTTAGTGACTTTATCGGTACTGCCAAGAGCCAACTGCTTTTTGTCCTGAAGGTGCTGAACATGGTAGTCTGGGGACGAGCTGATCCAGGCTTTGGCTGCTGGCTACTGAAATAGTTGAAGTCTCTTAAGCTTATCCCTTTGAGGTAGGGATGGTTTTTTCTTTCATTCTCTGAAAGAAAGTGGATTGTATTTAGAGCCTTTCTTACTCTGATCATAAACCTCTTTTCTTTGGCCTCCTCATAGCCAGCAGCAGCCTTAGGCTGGTACCTCAAGTTCGTAGAGGAATTAGGAAGAAGCTCACTCATGTCGTTGTGGAGGAGTTCTTGCCTAAGGCTTTTAGTGCCCCATTTATCAGTAGCAAATTCTCCCTTTGGACCTCAGTGTCTGGCAACATTCACTCCCTCAATATTTTTCTGCATGGATCTTTAATTTAAAGGACCATTCATCAGTTTGATTTGTCTCAGATAATATGGATCTTCTGCTTTTCAGAGAAGATTTTAAGGAAACGTGTTACTGCTTGTTTCTTCTCCTGAACACAAAGTGAAAAAAAAAGGAAATTTGATTTTGATTAAGATGTAGCTGGAAAGGTTTTTTTGTTTTTGGGGGATATTTTTGGTTGTTGCCGCGCTAAGGAATTATTACATTCAGTAGTTTTATATTGAGAACATGGTTGAAATTTTAAAGCAATTTACTCTAACTCTATCCTATTTTGAAAGAGACTAGGTAGTTTAGAATGACTAGGAGACCCTACGGGAAAGAAGGCTAGATAGATCTGGAGTCACAGAGATC